AAAAAGACGAAGCATTACAAGCAAGACCGAAATATCATAAAGGCAATTGAAAATCGGAGACAAAATATTATGTATGACGTTGATATTAGTTTATCATTGATTGAACTTATCGTTCAATTTCTATTCGAAATGATGTCTCTAATATGACGTAAATCGTTTACATATAACCATTACTTACATATAGGATAACCATCATTTTTTTATTACTTATTGTTATTGATACAAACACATTAATATTAGACATCAAAATGATCGTCGCTTGCTCTCTAGGTATGTTAAACAGATTATTATAAGTAGAAAAATAGTGATCAGTTTTATATAATTATATTTCAATAATAAAACAAAAATTATAACGCTTATAATTCAAGAGAGATCCGGATTCGATCTCCGGCCGAGGTAATATTTTTCGCAATAAAGTTATTTACAGATTTTACAGTTATTTTCAATGTTATTCAGCATCATTGAAGTGCTGAATCTTTCTAAGATGCTTATGAATATCAAATTATTAAATTGTTTAACTCTTGTTATATTGCTACAGTAGTTTGGGTTGCGTTTCAAGATCAACAAATCATTTCGAAGCACAGTTTAAATAACTACGTATGTACCCCAAGCAGAACAACAAGCCACGATAACATGAAAATAACATTAAAATAAATCGGAAATGAATGAAAAGTGACTTTTAATGATCATTTTGGAGTCATTTTGACATCATTTTAATATCATATAATGACTTGTTGTTCTGCTTAGGGTAGGTATTGTAGGAACAGAGTTCGTGGACATGTAGAGGAGATTAAACTGAGACGGAAAGTCCTCTACTACCATTTTACAATTTTTGCAATAGTTAACAAGATGTTAATTGCTAAAAATTGCCGAAAATTGGTCTTCAGTAATTTTTTATTTAAATACTATCAATTTTACAGAAAAACTGTAAGAGACAAAAATTTTTTATTTTCTTCTCATAGAACTCTACGAATTTTGTTAGAATTTTTTATCAACTTTTTAGTACTGCATTTATTTTTACCAACATGAGAAAATACGATATTAAAAAATTCTGAAAAAATTCTAAAAAAATTCTTAGAGCTCTATGAGAAGAAAATTAACAATTTTCGTCTCTTGCAGTTTTTCTGTAAAGTTAATAGTATTTGAGTACAAAATTATTGAAGACCAATTTTCGGTAATTTTTAGAAATTAATATCTTGTTAACACACTATTGCGAAAATTGCAAAATGGTAGAGGACTTTCTGTCTCAGTTTAGTCCGCTCTACATATTCACGAACTCTATCAGAACAATTATTAGACACCCTGTATATATAATATATGTATATGTATACATATATATACATACAAATCGAAAGGGTAACTGATCTTGAATATTCCGGTATATACAATAACCTGCCAGAATTCCTCGAAGTCCCATGTAGTTCAATGAAGTCCGATAAAGTTCAATAAAGTTCGATAAAGTCCGATGAAGTCCGATAAAGTCTGATAAAGTCCGATAAGTTCAATGAAATCCGATGAATTCCTCGAAGTTTGATGAAGTCCAATAAAATCTGATGAAGTCTGATGGATTCCGGTGAAATCCGACGAATTCCGATAAAATTCAATAAAATCTGGCGAAGTCCGATGAATTCCTTGATGTTCAATGAAGTCCAGCAAAGTCTGTCGAAGTCCGTGACAGTTCGTGAAATATGATGAAGTCCGTGATAGTTCGTGAAGTCCGATAAAGTCTTGAAGCTTGAAGGCCAAGTATACATCTATTTTTTGAGGTTACCCCTTCGATATAAATTTATACCTAATTACCTGAACACCTAAGATCTAGCTTAATCATTAAAGGCTTTATTCCCTACTTGCTGTGTAATATATCACATTTACCGGTCTTAAGAAATTCTTTAACAATAAATTATTTTACTTCTAGGAAGTATAAATATTGTTTTCTAAATGTTTTCTGATGACTATTTGTGCAATAATCATATTAAAGTTATCATAGCTGTGATCATAAATTAATTGTTAAGACGTTAAATTATCATCAATTAGGGCTACAGTTCATTTGATACTTCCAACACTCATCATTATTTTTTTAAACATTTGATGAACAACACCTGAACAAGATACGATATTATATGAATATCCTCTTTGTATGCTATAATCATCCCGAATGTACTAACGATATTCATAAAATATCCTAATAGATTCTCATGTTTTATGTTTTATGTAGTGTCAAGATATACTTAGAATGTAGCAATTAAATTTTGTTATATATACTGAGAATGTACTAAAATTATATTTGACATACTTAAAATATTTTTAAATATCATTAATGTACATCTTGTGTATAAAAATATGTATTCACATCATATATTCTCAAAACATACCCAGAACGTAGAAATTAAACGGTAAGCTGATTATCATATATCAAAACCATACGTAATTCTGGTTCCGATTTTCGACTGTTATTTCTTTCCACATTTTTACATTATCGCCGTTCAGCACACGGAGTTAAAACGTTTTTTATTAGATGTAATATTTTCTTTTTTTACTTAATATTGTATTTAACATAATATAAATGTATTGGAGATATTTCTATAAATAAGTTTTATAATATTTTTGTTAAATATACTTCATAATTTGTTATAAAACTATATTATCGAATTGGTGTCGCATATAATCAAGTTTCTGAATCTAGTCACATTGCAGTATATTACGGCAGCACGTATATACATCGCGATCAGTGTACAGTATATTTTGAAATGCATCCATATGTATATAATTAATTTTATGTATATAAAATATATCATACAGCATATAATAATAAAATAGCAGTGTGATTCTGATGTAATATCTGAGTGAATATTAATATATCAATATTACTTCAAAATGCTAAATTATAAACTTATAAAGCAAAAAACAAAAAGTATGAATTAAAATGACATAACATAATCTAATTCACATAAACAACAATATAATATAAAAGCGTGCATAATATGACAAATTGATGTCGTTTTTAGTCTCTTTCCAGGTAGCACATACAAATGTTCTACGAACGCTTTATAATTATTAAGAATATTACTATATATTCTACGATTCTACTAAAAACACTGTCAAATTTTTGCGATATGTTTATAGTGTATTCCAATGGTATAATTATAAATGTTCTATAATCATACGCGAATACTTATAATTAGTTTAATATTCTTTTGAGTATTCTACTTTTTTATATTCTATGAATACGCTTTTTATCATGAACTTTTTAATATGAACACCTAAATAAAATATTCTATGTATATTTATGGAACATTCAATTTAAATGTTCCGAAATTAAGAACATTTGTATTTTATAAGTATGCATAGAATATTTTGTGCTATCTGGGTTGGGACACGATTAAAAATGTCTCGTTAATGATTTTGTGTAATCAATTTTATGACTATACAACTATTTTGCTACTTGGATAAAATCATCAATTATAAGTGCGAGAATATTTTGATTTGAAAATAAGTATGATCCGACATATGATTAAAATCTATCGATTTACGTATCTCTATGATGGAGACACGATCGGCTATTATCATATACTAGCATTGAGACACAATGATGCGCGTTTCTTTACAATTATACAGTGTGAGATCTATTAATGTGCTTACATATATTCTGCATTTTGCTCACTTATTCACAATTACATTTCTGGAAGAAACATTAATGATGTTTGTTGTAATTTTAAACATCTAAGCAGATTAGATGCCGATTTTTTTATTTTGTCGTATTTATACTTAAATTTAATATAACAATATATTGATTTCTCAAAGTTACCGCTGTCGACTACGTTTACATGCCTCGTTTAAACGATTTGGAAGCAGTCACGTTGTTTTATTTTTTTTAAATGTATTTATTTACATAAACACTGTTTCGATTTAGTCTTTTAAATATAGCTGTACATATATATAATATAAATATATTTATATTGATATAACTTCTGAATTAAATAATTCATACACATACCGTTGATACATTATTAATGTGAAACAAATAAAAAATAGGTATTAAAAAATTGAAAATGTATGCGGAATTTTAGAAAATTATAAATAATTAAATAAAATAAAATTAAGGTAATTTTTTACAAAAACTTATACAACTTGGATGACCTTGACATATATATATATATATATATATATATATATTTTGTTAAGACAAAATTACTCAGGATCATGACCTTGATAACATATATCAAAATCAAGGTCATTCGAGCTGTGTAAGCTTTTATAAAGAATTACCAAAATTAAATTAATTTATTGAAAAGATAGTGAAATATAGTACTTTCTTTATTATTTAATTTTCAGTTTTAATTATTTAATAATGTTCTCAATAGAATGAAAAACGTTATATTTACTATACGAGGAACAAAAATGTTTAAACATTACATTTAAATGATGTTTATATTGTATTTATAATGTTATTTTTTCTTTAGTTAATTTAAAAAGGTTTTAATTTTTTTTTTAAATCCGTTTTTCATATAATTCTATGACTTATTTTAGTAAAAGAGAAGCTGCTGATCATTTTTTTTCAATAAAAACTGGAATTATAAGCGTATAGGTACTTCCACTGTTCACATATTTCTTCAGAATCGAATTTATGAACCTACACTTTTTTCATTAGCAAGCATAAAGTAATAATAACTATTATGTAAGTTACAACGTAAATAATATTTTAATATGTTACTAAAGGCATGAAAACGTAATCATTGATGTCCGAAAATTATAATCTCCGAAAAATCGAAAATTATAGGTCGAAGAATGTAAGAATTTAATGCGGAAAACATTTGTAAGGATAAAATATGATAAAAATTATTTAACTTACCCATTTAAAAATACACATTTAACGATATCAGAATAAAAAATGTATTATGATTATTGTAAATAAAAAATGTATTAGATAATTAAACACTCAAAATTAAAACCTATTTTATTTATACACATATATAAAAACGCCATCAAAATTTTAAGCTCGTCAACATTATTGATCACATTGTGCAAAATGATAGCTAATTATATTATATAATCTTCCGATACTATTTCGTATTGATATCATTACATGAACATTAACAATCGTTAATGATGTATTATTGTGTGTGATTCCTATATTTACATATACATATGTTTACTGAAATAATCAATTGCGCCGCTGTCATGATTAATTCATTATTGTTTTTTCATTGGTTTTAATGAAAGATTAGGGACAAAATGTTGGAATAAATTTTAACAGGCCTAATTGACGTATTATACAATTAATTAATCTGAATTACTATAAGAGGATATGTAATGCGATTGTCCGATGATAATGCAACTACATAATATAATGTCTAATAGCAACAATTATTGAAATTGAGGAAGTAGTTATGATGAAAAATTGTATTTCGGAGAAAAATAATTCGCGTCAGACATCTTGTAAGTTGTGGAAGAACTATGTCCACTCAATTTATTAGTTTTCTTTTTTTCCTCTGCCATCGATTTCTTCGTTTTGTAGGGACGTAGTATTAACATAGTTTCTTTAGATTGCTCCTGTACACGTATCTTCGACCTCCATGACTGGTCATCCAATTCTTTATTTTGATTCTCCACTACTGCTTCATCACGAGCATGTTTCTCCTCTATAATGAAACATTTGTAACATTCCTATTGTATATGTATTCGACAATACTATTGAAAGATTTTGTTAGAATAGAATTTCTATTTTTTACTCTTTACTTTATCTGAATCTCCATTTTTATAACAGTGTTTATATAGAATAATATGTCCTAGCAAACACAAATATATAGAGTGTCCAATTAAAATGTCAATATTTCGAGAGTGTGTAAGGGATCGATAAATTAAGAATAAAAAACGGGAGATGTCCTATTTAGGGAAGCCATGACCTTGACCTTGACATATTATGTTGTGTTAAAATATAACTATAATGCTATATCAGTAATTGAAGTATTTGCAATGATTAGCTCTTTGTAGTCGATCCATAATCGATCATTATATTCGAAATATTTACAACGATCACTCTTGTCAAACTATTCGTCATTGGACAAATCAAACTAAAATTTTTTAGATTCGTTTATGAAACAATATATTTTAACTATATGTGAGTTTTTTGACAATATCTATTGACAAGATATATCACAGTTATACATACATCCATTAATATTTTATGCAGATTTTTGTGATTATAATATGGTTAAGTCCTGACGAGAGGCACCCCAAATTTTCGACACTTACTAAAGAACTACCTTAATGTTTCTGTGTGTAATTATGTTATTAAAAAAATATAGATATATGTAAACAAAATTTTATGTGAACAACTAAAACATAAGGAAACAGAAAGATTGGAAAAAATAACCAAAAAAATTAAAAATAATGCTAGAGAGAGTTTCACATTGTACTTTTTAGTAATTTATAACACTTGAATAAAGATAAATTCATTAATTTTATCATAGTTAATGTTTTATGAATATTCTTAACATCAGAAAACTGTCACATTGTAGTTGGACATTGGAACAAGTTATGGTCGAATTTTGGGTCGCTTATCTTTTAAATTGTTTGGTACATATGTATGTACCAAATATTTGCAAATATTTAATACAAATTAATAATTGTTATCTTTGTTTTATTAATTTTATTTAAAGTATAAATTTTATTACATATATGAAAAGACACGAAAAAAATTAAGTTGTTTTAATTAAAAAAATCATATCTTTAATAAAGATTGTTCAATGTCCAGCCACTGGGATACTTTATTAGACATTCTGTATAATGCAGCATAATGAGTTTGGTCTGTTTATACAAACCTTCAATATCACTAAATAGAATTCTCGACTTCCTTGAGACGCTAACTTTTTTATCCCCTTTATCGCTTGTACACTCTCTCTCAATGTTGTTATTGGTGAGGAATATCGATTCAAGAACCTGTCGCGAAAATAACGGCGACATTGGACGTTTTTTTGTACACACGTTATTTGTATTGGCTGAGGCATCACATGAGCTTGTCTCATTATCACATATGCTTGCTGTGGACATGCTGTCCGTAATCAGTTTCTCAGTATCCGAATCACCAGCATTGCTATAGTAATTATTACCACTATCGGATTTCTTTAGAATCGACTTTGATATTCGGTGTTGGTCTATGAATGGCATTCCACCACTATCTATAGAGTCTGCCGATAGCGAAAGCTTATTCTCCACGCTTGTTTCTGAAACAGATTTTATTACATTTCATTACATTACTTTACAACGTAATAATAATTCAATATGAGTCTTTAGCATCTTTAAGTTATGATTATTTTACTTTTAACATCGTATACAACTTGCATTTTCTTACAAATGTCGATATTATGAGCAGTCTTTCGAATATATTCTCGATAATATAGTCTGTTACACAAGACCAGAGTAGGAGGTGACTGACGTCAATTTGTGATAATTTTTGGTCCACGACGTCGACGGCAAATGAATGTTAATAAGATGTCATTTTTTAGACTATTTTATGATTGTTAAAATTGCGCGTTGCGATCTGCGCTGTACTCTCATTAGCGCCGATCTTTTATTTTTATTAATTTTGAGAAAAGAAAGTACACAGTTCTCTTTCAAAGTATTCGAATTTTAATAAGGTCGTATTAATTCCTATTATCCTATATATTGATATGATCTAGAGTTTTTCCATCCAAAGTATCTTATGAAAGACATTGTCTCCAATAAAAATGCACGATTTAGCTTCCGTTTTTTATAAGGTTAATTCTAGATTTTTTAGAGTTTGTAACACAGATTTAAAGAAAGAACAGTATGGATTAAATTAAATTTGATTAAAACCCAATGTTTACCTCTATAATGCTTTGGCGCGCCAAGAGACCCAAACATGTGATAATTAATTATGCGTGTAGCGGATGCCAAGCTATTTGTTGACATAAGCGGGGAAGGTTTACCACCACGTAGCCCTCCATAATGATTATTGTTGTCTTCCGCGGCAGTATCTTCCTTTAAGATACTGCGCATAACTATACTCTCTTGATCACTAATGAATTGCGTCCGTGGTTTTATGCTCTGTAATCAATCATATAATTAAATATTATACTCAAACTTCGATACTATCTTGCAAATAGGAGAAATGAAATGTAACGGAGTCTCCCGTATTTTTAATGTCATATATTTAGTCATATACAGAGTGGTTTACTTAACTCGAAAATCTTAAATATTATATTTATTTTTGATGATAAAAAATGTTTTTGATAAAAATGAAATAGTTTCGAGAGAGACGTTTTGGTTACTTTGTTCTTTGTACGTCTGCCTAGCTGGCCCCCCCCCCCC